AAAAAAAAAAAAAAAAAAAAATTTGTCTCTTTATGATTTTTATTTTTATTTTTTTCATTTTGTTGTCTACTATGATCTTTGTGTCACGTGCTAATCGTTTTATCAACTTTCTCACGTGTTAGGTGTTGTTTCTTTGTTGCCCGTGTATGATCATTTTCACTGGAATCAATGTTCTTTTTTTTTTAAAACCAAAACCTGCTTTTCAGTTTTTCCTATCTTTACGAATCACGATTAATACTCTGATTTCTTCCAGATATACAACCACCTGATTGGTCTGACTCGATGTCCTTAACGAGCTACGTCTGTCCCAAGTGCAACGCAGGATTTCGCAGGATGTGGGATCTGATTAGACACAAGTGTGGTCAAACTCCAAGATACGCGTGTCCTTACTGCCACAAGAAGGATAATTCTTCCTCGAATATTTATCGACACATACGTAGATGGCATCCAAAAATGCCTGTCGGCGTGAATAAGATGTTTTAATGAGAAATATTCAAGAAAAATAAAAATCGTGCCAGAAACAGGATTTACCCGTATCCTTGTAACTATCCAGGTACCCCTAAAACTGCATACAACAAGAAACTTCATATCCTTTTCAAGAATTATCAAATACTATACTGTCACAAGAGTTCTCAAGGAACGCGATAATGACGATGAACGTGATAAAGGATGAAAATTAATTTACATTTTTATTTTTATTTTTTCCCCTTTTTTTACCAGTATCTTTGCTTCACGCCCGTTTTAATTTTTCGTTTTCCAGATTGGACTCCCTACGAGACTGCAGATAGACTTACTTGTCCACAAATGTGGCAAGTACTTCAAACGCAAGAAGGATAGAAATTATCATTTACGTTATCTTTGCGGCAACCAATTGAGACTACAGTGTCCTTATTGTTATAAACGTTATAGACACTCATCCAGTATTACGTGTCACATAAGAAACTATCATCATGGCCAGCAAATGTTTTAATACAAACTCTTCTGAAGAATATGGTTACAATTGGCTTCCAAGTTGTTACTTCCTGTTTCTTAAAATTTACCTTGTTTCTTAAAGCTTCCCGCTTGGAAGTTTTAATTTGATTTTTTTATTAACTTGTTATTTTTTTGCCAAAGTAATGTACCTCGGTCGTGATAAGGAGAACCTTGCCATATTATAGGAATTGAATAAATGTAGATTAATAAATAATTGTTCTAAGCGATAATTCGTGAGGTGAATATTTTTTGGAAATTTTTTTTCCATATATTTTCGTAGAAAACATTTAGAGTGGGATGGCTATGGACACGGTGAAGATGCCTAAGAGGGAACAATTTCGATTCGGAGCGTCCGATTTTCACGTTACTTTAATATTCGGACACTTTACCAATGTAGCGCTTTTTCCAATATTCAAGCCGAGTTAGAGGATAATATTTGTTTACAAATCTAGTCAAGCGTTCTAGTTTAACCCTTATTTCATTAGTTATTTGTCGATCATCGTATAATACACTTGTACAATGCCTCGCAAAGCGAACACGAGTTTTTATATACGGCAACTTGTAATATATCATAATGCCAAAGGAAAATCGTACAGAGAAATTGCTGCTCTGCTTAACATAAGCAAAAGTACAGTGGGAGATATAGTCAAGCGGTTCAAATGTGAGGATCGTATAGATTCTAACCCCAAAAAAGCCAACCGAAGAAATTAGACGTTGGCGATGAGAAAAAATTGCTAGGAGATATAGTCAAGCGGTACAATGCCTCGCAAAGCGAACACGAGTTTTTATATACGGCAACTTGTAATATATCATAATGCCAAAGGAAAATCGTACAGAGAAATTGCTGCTCTGCTTAACATAAGCAAAAGTACAGTGGGAGATATAGTCAAGCGGTTCAAATGTGAGGATCGTATAGATTCTAACCCCAAAAAAGCCAACCGAAGAAATTAGACGTTGGCGATGAGAAAAAATTGCTAAGGAAAATAAATAAGGACCCTACGCTCAGTGCACCAAAATTAGCATCGGAGCGCTTAAACGAGACTGGAAGAAACGTGCATCCTCAAACGATCCGCAGATCCTTAAGAAATAGCGGCTACAATGGAAGAAGTGGCTAGAAAGAAACCGTACGTGAGTGAAAAGAATCGAAAGAAGAGACTGAATTATGCCAAAGAAATTATTTTGTAGGATGAAACATGGTGGAATGATCTCATCTTTACTGATGAAAGTAAATTTAATATTTTTGGCTCAGATGGACGAAGGATGGTGTGGCGGAAAAAAAAGGAAGAGTTTAAATTTAAAAATCTTCGGCCGAGCGTAAAGCACGGAGGTGGCAGTGTAATGGTCTGGGGCTGTATTTCGACTTTCGAACCGGGCGAATTAGTTTTCATCGAAAAGATTATGGACAAAAATTTGTACATGACCATAATGAAAAAAAATTTACACAGAAGTGCTACAAAACTGGGGATTTTAAATACGTTCAAGTTCTACCAGGATAATGACCCGAAACATAAGGCACGCATTGTGCAGGAATATTTGCTGTACAATTGCCCAAAAGTTTTGCAACCACCACCTGACCTTATACCCATTGAAAATCTCTGGGATGAACTAGAGCGCCGAATTCGAAAAACACCAATATCTTCCAGAGAAATGTTAAAAAATCGTTCAAAAGAAGAAATTTAGTTTGAGTATTGAATATTTAGAAAAAAATTATTAATAATATGCAGCAGCGTTTGCAAGAAGTGATAAAGCAGGATGGTTACCCAACAAAATATTAAAACAGGTATTGTAACAAAAACCAGCCGAAAAATAAATATGTAGTTTCTCAAAGTGTCCGAATATTAAAGTAACGTGGAAATCGGACACTGTTTTATTTAAACCGTATTATTCAACGACTGTTGCAAGTTATGTAAATAAAATTTATGCTATTGTTTATTAAGCGTATACGGCATCGTAATCCATAATCATTTTTTTTTTTTAATTAGGAATGAAGTTATGACGTAATTGAGTAAAAATCTCAGTGTCCGAATATTAAAGTAACGTGGAAATCGGACACTGTTTTATTTAAACCGTATTATTCAACGACTGTTGCAAGTTATGTAAATAAAATTTATGCTATTGTTTATTAAGCGTATACGGCATCGTAATCCATAATCATTTTTTTTTTTTTAATTAGGAATGAAGTTATGACGTAATTGAGTAAAAATCTCAGTGTCCGAATATTAAAGTTGCTCACTGTATCTGCTCGTCGTAGTCATTGTTCATTTATATCTTTTCACCTGTCACTGTGACGTACTCAAAACACTGGAACAGTCTTCTCCACGTGGACGGAACTGTCGACGATTCTCTAATCGATGTAAAAATTTGGCTTTCAGATATATATGCAGTAAGAAGAGGTCGTCCTAAGGTCTATTCGGTAAATAAGAATTATCATTGTCCTCGATGCAATCGAGGATTCACCCTAAAGAGGAACATGGTGAAGCATCAACGACACGAATGTGGAATGGAGCCGAAATACCAGTGCCCTTATTGCGGAAAACTTTCGAAATTTACACAAAATCTATATGCGCACATTAGAAAGTATCATGTGGGCCTGGGCCTTTACGTGGAGAAACTTTACTGAGAGAAAAATAAAGCTTCCACGTAAAATTTAGTATTGTTTAATTTTTATTTGCAGGGCAAAGCATGTGTAAGGCGTATAAGAGAGTGTGAGAGAGAGAGAGAGATAGAGAACTTGTTAAAGAATAAAGAGATCTTTAATGTAATGAAAAATACTTGTACCTTGTTCTTTTATGTAATCGAATGATGTACATGGGAAAACGGATTGGTACGTTTTAGGGTATTGCAGATCTAATGGAATTATAAATTATGGAAAACTGTAGAAGATGGTATTACAATTCAGAATGTCTTTTTTATTTATGTCTGCTATCATGGTGATGGATAATCCTGTTCATAGATATACCCAAGTGTCGTCCTAATAAAATTCTGTAAGCCTATAAGATTTCTGGGTTCTTTCATACAATATTTCCAATCTTAGTAAACTTTCTGTTGTATAATTTGATTTTTAGATATATTATTTTCGGTCTTAGATATTACGTTTACTTATTTTAATATTTACTCTCCACGACAATCTGTTTCTGGTTTATTTGGAATATTTCTTTCCTCTCCTATCATTCTTCCTTACCCATTCGTTTCTGCTAGGTTCCTTCGAAATCATTATTTTGAAAATAATCTTCAAAACTGATCCTTCGTTCGTGTCCGCAGGATTGACGGGCTCGTTTTCAAGACAGACCCGTCGTAAAAAGATGGACATTGACGACCGGGAATTGAAATACGCTTGTCCTCATTGCGGTTTTCGGAATAAAAGGAAGGATCACATATATCGTCATATCCGGGGAAGACATCCAAACAGAGCAATCTGTTACGTTGACTTATCGATGCTATAGACAAAGCATATACGTCCAGTGCAGCAAAATGTCGTATAGAGTACAAAAATATGAGAGATTACAAATTTTTTTTTTTCAGATACAATATACGAAATAAGTTAAGAGAAATTTTTTTTATCGATTGTTAAACGAAAAAGAATCCATTCTAAAGTGAGAGAATAAATTTAGTTTTTTATTTTGTACATACATTCTAATTTTAATTTTAGATTTTATTTTTCAGATATTTCCTTCAGGTAGATACAAAATAATTCCTCTCTCTATCTCTCTCCCACTCTCCCCCAAAGTGGATGATATTGGAAAATATCATAGTGCCATTACTAATCGATCATTATTTTTTTTTTCTTTCAGACCCATCCCAGAAGACACTACCCCTTCATCGATTATCAACAAGAAGATTCAACAGCTACGACGATCCGATTCGTCGTCATCCTTGTCCCAATTGCTGTCGCAGCTACAAGCATCGCAGCCACATGATACGTCATTACAGATACGAGTGTGGATTTCCGCAAAGATTCGAATGTCCTTACTGCAAGCATCGTCTTCGGCAGCGAACACACGTCTGGACGCACATACGTACTTTTCATGCAAATTGCGAACTTTACTGCATCGACATAGCCACGAATACTATATTGCCCAGGCAAGAACACAGGATCGAATAAAATAATATATTAGTTATAACGAATTGGCCAGACACCATTCGTTATAACGATTCAATTTTTTGACGGCAGGAAGCGCTTGAGGAATGGAAAAAAAAATGGGCTCTGACCTGGATTCGAACCCGGGTCCTTCTGTGAAACAGTCAGGGACCCCATGGAACTCATTGGCTGCGCTGATAATCGTAGGCCCGTGATTTTGGTAGTTGCTGAGGATTCATTAAGACTGTAACGTCACGATGCGAAATATACGACAGTGTATAAATGATTTATAAACAATTTATTTTCGTTCGACATAAATTCATTTATGCTTTCGAATTAGCCTGTTAATCTTGTCAGAAACATTCCGTTCGTTCGAGGATGCTCATATTCTTGTCTTGGCAATTACTTTTTTTTGTCCTCTATCCAAAGTTGATATCCATGCAAAATTATTGACCATATGTAAGAGCGATTGGAAGAACCAGTTGTAAATAATAAAATGTTTTCTTGTGTAATATTTACTTGTTCGAATGGTTCCCCTTTGGAATTATTTTTTTCATTTGTTTTATTGATTTTCTTTTACAGGCATTCCATTCTGAATTTTTTAAATATAAAAATGTAGTGCTTGGAACTTTATATGAAATATATGTTACGAAGACACTTCTTAGCCTTTACTAAGAATTGGTCATTTGTGTTTTATCGTGGCGAATTTTGTGATTTTTAATTATGGATTTTCAGCATTGTCCGTACTGTTACAGTACTTTGCGACTCGAGTGCGAAAAAGCGAACTTTACAGGCAGGCGGTGAAGTTTGTCGCACGAAACCGAAGGCGAGTGCTGCTTGTGGTACGACTGCAGCGAGTGTGACAAAGTTCACGACCTGCGTATAATATTCGCTTTGTTGCACCAGTATCACATAATATTTTTTGTGACGCGTGCATGAAAAGTGCTACTTTTTCTGCCTCCAAAGTGACTGGAGCATCTCTTAATTGTAGGAGGCAGCCATAAGGAAAGCAAGGAAGGCTTCCAGAGCGAATGCGGTTTCGTAACAGCGCGCGAGAACAAAGTTCACTTTATCGCACTAATGCGAGAAGAAAGCACTAGTGCGATTAAGTAAAATTGGGCTGATTTGCGCATGCGCACCATTTTTATAGCATCCTCAGTTATAAAGCGCCACTTACGCCACACTTTGGAGGTACGAGAAGTAGCGCTTTTCATGCATGAGTTACATAAATAATTAATTGAAATTCACAACACGTTTATTATACCGAGTTAAGTGAAATTTACAAATGACGTCTCTAAGAGAAAAATTTATACACTTTGTATTGCTACCTCGATAATCGAATATTAATTTCGACATACTGATGTGACATTTAATATAGATGACATTGAATGGTGATTCACCGTTAAAGAATTTTGACAATATTTCTATATTAAATTGCACGTTATGAACGGACTATGGAAAAATACTACACAATTATGAATTTCAATTGCCGTTGGATAGCACCTGGTGGTCCAATCCGTCGCACTGCTTCGATATCAAACTCTTAGAATCAACAAGCTAATTTATAATTTGCAGGAAACCTCTTACCTCTTAAAAGCAACGCAGCAGTATTAATCCCGCTGCTGCACCAACTCCTATTATTGCAGTATTGTCTCACAGAACCTGTCAGGAGAGGATATTAATTCCCTCTCTAAAAAATCAAAACCAAAAAACCTAACCAAAAAAGTACCTATATTGTATATCTTTTATATATATATATATAGTGCAGATATATTAAATACATGTATTTATATTTCCAAGTTATGTTTTAAATATATTACGTACACAATTTCACATATATTCTTATACATAAGTTTATTGGAAACAATATAGAGATAAGGTAAATGTAATATACGTTTCTATATGAATATTGGCCAAGTTACATTAATTCTTATAAAGTTGATTTTTATATTCGTTAAAATGTCATGAAACTTGAAATACATTCACGTAGAAATATTAAAATTCAGTATTTTCTTTTTTGAAATACCATCCCTTCAAATTGAATAATGTATTTAAAATTTAATGTACGGTATTGGGGAAAAAATATACAATACTTTTATATTAATTTTGACACAGATGCTTTTAACAGTGTGTTACTAATTGCAGGTGAATCGTCGATGGAATTTTCGAATGAGAAACCAGACAATTTATTTGAAAAATCTAACCAGATATACGAGTGTCCGAGCTGCCACGAGTTGTACAAAGGGAAAAAATCGATGCTGTCCCACTTGAAATATCATTGCAAGCAGCCACCACGTTTTAAATGTCCACATTGCGGAGTGCGACATTTTCAAAAAGGTCATATGGTCCGGCACTTGGCGATTCATCATGCGAATCTACCACAATTTTTCATCGATGAAAAAATGCATGCTTTCTGTTGTCTCTGATAAGACGTATCTAGAAGAATAATTTGAACGAATAAAATTTTTTTGGAACAAAAAATTTAATTACGCCCAATGACAATTTATTGTTCTCAAAAAGAAAATGCCAACTTTCAATGACTGACAATGATTTTTCCTGTTTTTAAGTAATTCCTATCTCGATCTCCGAGACCGATGGACCATGAGTCCAAAATCGATGAAAGCGTAGAAACAGCAAGCTAAGAAATTTCGATGTAAAGTAGCGACAGTAATATATATATTTTTTGTTTCCTGTGTCCTTTATTCTTGCATCCTTCAATTGTTTTTGGCTGTAGCATCTCCAGCCAAAATTTTAAAGAGCACTTTTTTTCATATTTTAGTGTACCTCGTGTGTCCCGAATCTGCCATCGGGAAACTACCGATACAGAGGACAACCTATGATTTCAAAAATTCCAAAACCCTATAAATTCCACGAAAGTCGACTGTTTCATTGTTCAAGATGCAGTCGAGGATTCGTACTGAAACGAAACAGATCGATATGTAAATCACGAATGTGTACATGATCAAAAATTTCAATGTCATTATGATTTGCCCTGCAAGCAAAATATCCATTTACACACATGAAAAAAAAAAAAAACATGAAAACAAGAAAGTTTTCACAATTAACACCAGAACGATGTAAATCACCCTTTATTATTTGAGGGTCAAAAAAAGAATCAAATAAATTAAATAGCTCCTCCCCGTATTAAATATTTACGATTACGCATTTATCATATATACAGGATCGACCAATTTTTTCCCCCGTGTCAACAGATCGTGCGAGCATGTTGAAAAAAAAAAATTCAATCGAATGAAAAATTAAAAATATCAACGAATTTATATTCGTTAACACGGCTCGATTAGATGTCACTTATGTTGCAGCTTCAATCTTTAATAACACTGTGACATTGATATTTCAGGTTACTACGCACCCCAGTTGGACCTGAGCTTCATTTTACAAAACATGCCTAAAGGCTCGCGAAGTGCCAGTCGAGATTTTCGAAATTCCCCGAATGAAGAAATCGTCAAAATCACCACAGCCACCATCACAAGTACCTCGACTTCCCCAGTGCATAAGAACGCTCGTTCTCAAAGCGACAAGAATTCAGAGATCAAAGACTCGTCAAAATCCTGTAAATTCTCATTCGTTCCAAAAGTACGAAAACCATTCGCCTGTCCAAGATGTCCTCGTTCCTTCAGCGTTAAGGGCAACATGACGCGTCACTTGAAATACGAGTGCGGCCAATCGCCAAGATTTCAGTGTCCATATTGTGAATTTCGCAGTAAGCAAACGTCAAACGTAATGTCCCACATAAGGGCGCGACATCACAACGAAGAAGTTTACGTTGTGCACCTAAAGTATTAAGAACCTGCAAAGACTTTTCTGGTTCGAGCCTCCCGCACAGTCTGAGTATTATTAGTATAAGAATGACTTGTTTCTTTTCCGAGCTCTATGGTAACCTTGTTTTTGTGTTCCTAAAGACCATGAGTCTTTAAAACTGTCATCCTCGCTTTTCCTTTTGAGGATCCGACACACGCGATATGGTCTGTGCCGACTCCTTGCTGTTACAATGTGACATAACCGCAACGTGTAAAGTTCTTGTGTACAGGAATTATATGACATAAGAAAAATAACGAATTACTATTTCATCGCGTACCGAACGATCCTCTTAATCCAGAGTCTAATAATTTGTCATAGGAATAAACGTAACAACCACTGTGTTCTTGTGTAGTATCGCTTGACTCTTCACGCCCAGTCCACGATTACGCAGTACGAAATCTTAGCTTTGCATCGATTGACATATAGAGGTGAATAAAACAAAAAATTTGTTCTCCAAAAATATATATTTCCAATGGACGCATCGCTGAATTCAATTGGCCAAGAGGCTGAGCTTTGTCCAAGAATCTTTATGTGCAATGTCTTACATCGCTTGAACCTTGACTGTTCGCTAATAAACATACCTTCGTGAGAAAGATTAATAAATGAAAGTACATAAGTCCAAAATTAAGTGTCTTGGTTAACGCAGAAAATTTGACGACTCGTGCTTGTATATTTTTTTTCAGACCTACGTGTCCTGGGAAACGTGATGAACTACCCGCCGGCAACGTCTAACAATGCTCGTGGCAGTTTCTGTCATCCAACGAAGAGTCTCTTCTACTGTCCAAAGTGTAATCGCGGCTTTACGCAGAAAAGTAACCGAAACCGTCACTTCAAGAACGAGTGTGGTCAAGAGCCGAAATTCAAGTGTCCTTACTGCGATCTGCGTAGCAAACAAACCTCGCAGGTTTACTCCCACATCAGAAAGAAGCATCCGGGTCACGAGGTCTATTACGTGGATACGTTATACTTAAATAAATCAAGCAAGATTCGATCACGAATTTAACGAAGTTAAACTTCATTGTATGTCATAGGGTTTAGACTTACGGATTTGAATAAATTGCAATCTTAGAGCTTAATATTTTAACAATTTTCTGCTTCAATTGGACATTGTGTATCGTTGGCGCACGTCTTATTTTTTTTTTATTTTTTTATTTTTTATTTTTTTTATGTATTTTTATAGTATCGTTCGGTTCTTCAGGAATGTCACAGATTTCGCACTAGCTTTTGGAACGATCTAGTTGGAGAGCTCCGTGCAAACGAAAGATGTAACTTTTTTTCCTGTACTGTTGTCGTTTTTCTAATATTTTAACAATTTTATGATTTCAGAGCCACGACCTACGTATCTCTACCGTGATTACGCGCAAGTTTATCAGAGCGTCCCGACGCTTCAAGAAGGACGCAAGTATTCGAGATGCAACACGACGCGTAACAAAGCTACGAGAAATTACGTGTGTCCCAAATGTGGGAAGGGTTACACCGTGGTGAAAAGTCTTAAGCGACACTTGCGTTACGAATGTGGTTTAGCGCCACGTTTCAAGTGTCCATATTGCGGCATAAAAGGGAAACAGAAAGCCCACGTTAATGAACATATTAGAAGAAAGCATACGGGGAAGCATATATATATAATCGAGTCACCATACTAACCCACTCTGCACATGTACGTCTATATAGATCATCCTGATGATTTCATGAAATAAAGAAATCTCCAAATTCTCTTAGCTGTCAACGTATAAACCAAATGTTTTCTCTTCGATTTTTCGTTTCTCTCCTTTTCTTTTTTTTCACAACGAAAGGAAAGACTGGAGATATTTTTTTATTTAAAAACATTTTCTAATCTTTATAGAAATTACAGGATTGGTCATCCGCTGAGTTCATGTGACTAATGCCAAAAAAATGAAGAACCACGAAATCCCATGTTCATCAACCTTGGTTTAACGAAGGAATAACAATCCCTGGAGAATTCACCAATTTCGAATCAATCGATTATCAGTACTTTTGATTCGAAACGATGAATTTTTGTCCTCGTACAAAAAAAATGGAAATATTAAAAAAGATACTGTATGTATCAACAGATAAACCTTTAACCCGCATCTTCTCCATAGGAGACCAATTTTCGGGGACGTGAGCTTATATTTTTTTTTTTTTTTTTCACGGACTGGGTGGCAGGTTAACTCGTAGTAACAATACCGTAAGGATTTTTGGATTTTGTAAAACACAAAAAAAAAGTCAAAATTGACGATACAAAAAAATGGCTTTCAAGCCATTTCAAGTTCTCAAAAGTGTCATCGGTTTCCTTGTTCTATCGTGTGTTCTATATTATCCCCCCCCCCCCACCCCGAAATCCGTGACCTTTTGACATG